AGTACCCTATGTATACCTAATTTACAAAACTGGACTGACAATGAAATTTTAAAACACTGTATAGAATTAGATCAAAAATTAACAGATACTAAAAATGTTAATGAAAAGCACATTGATCGATTAAATTTGTTCAAAGAAATAAAATCTTTGCGATGTTTTACCAAGGAGGATAGATATGTCGACTATTGATGTTTTTAAAATTATATTTATAAAAACAATCTTACTGATACATTTCCAAATTTTGCAATAGCTTTGCAGATTTTTTTAATTCTGCCAGTTTCGGTGGCTACTGCAGAACGAAGTTTTTCAAAACTTAGAATTATAAAAAAAAAAACTACATGCAATCTACCATGGCGCGGTAGAGATTATTGGACTTGTCCATAGACAGCGAAATTTTGGATAACCACAGAGAGCGAAATTTTGGATAAATTAAATATAAATGAATTGATACGAGCGTTTGTAGCTGCTAGAGCTAAGAGAATCAATATTTGAATATATTTTCTGATTTTTATATTTTACTTATATATAAAAAATGTTTTATCATTGTTTTGTTTTTATAATTTATGAAATAATAAAAAATAAAAAAAATAAGACAAACGCGTTTTAATATTATAATTCTAAAGCTTTTCAGTTCCAAAGTCAAATTTTGAATACTATAAAAGAGTATTTTTCACATATAATTTGCAGCATTTTATAAGAGTGCAACCGAACCCCATAAGGGGGTGCCAAATTTCAATTTGAACAAGGGCGCCTAATACCCGCGCGGAGGCCCGGGCTCCCCCATTTCCAAAGAAGGGTCCCCAAGGAATTTTGATTCAGGGCCCACACATGACTAGCTACGCCAGTGGTGCTAGAGTATGTTATACGAATAACAAATTACATAACCTTTTCACACCAATAACTACTAATGAAACAAGCGTATAAGTATATGCTTTTAAAAAAAGGTGCTATAATTATAATTGCGAGTATAATAATTTTAAGAAACAATTTTTATCCTTAGGCTTGAAATTTTGTAGAAAAAATTTCTTCAACTGTAAAGGAGGGTAATTGTATATAATCATATTTTGTGTTTTCAAACTTTGTATGCTGACAGCGGTTAACCAAGCTGATTATGTGGCGATTGATTGATTGATTAATCGAATATTAACGTCGCACTGTTCAGCAACACGAGGGCTTTTGGCGATGGACCACGTAATTTTGAACCATGGTCAAGTGACTTGGACGACACCTAAGATGGCACCCCCTCTCCTAAATACCACACCACACCAACGGGAGGACGTTTCAGCTCTCGACAGATTTAAAGTGCATCGCTGCCCTACACGGCGGGTCTTTAGTGGTACTGGGCTCGAACTCGTGAGACAAGGCAAGCCGCGGTCCGATACCTATACCACTCGGCCACTGATTATGTGGCGAATAAATGTGCTGAAGTGTTTATGGTTAAATATTTCACAATGTTATACTTCCTTCCATGAATTTATGTTCACACACTACGTGACACAAAAACACATATCCTATACAAGCTGTAATCATGGAAAAAGTAGGAAATATTTCTCATATTTGTGAGTTTAGAAACATCGGACGCTGCAGCGCCAATTTAAGCTTATTTCGGGCCCTGGACACAAAAGATCTGCAGGCCACCTTGGTACTGGAGGATCGAAATTTATGACCAGAAAATCTGTTTAAGTCCAGCTCATCCGGGCCTCGGGCCCCTGGGTCTCCACCCAAAGCTCCCAATGGATAAACCGGCACTGAGACGCTGAGTGTGGGGTGAGCATTATTCTAGCATTAAAGTTATGTCATCCTAATCTCTTAGCCACACTTTATTAGTTAATTGCATTTTATCACATTTATTAACTATCATTTAAGCTCATGAACATATCGAGAATACTCTGAACATACGTAGTGACCTCAGTAGCCTAGTGGTCAAGGTAACGAACGTGTCATGAGTTCTACCCAGTGTAGCTGAAGACCCGCCATGCAGAGGGGACCGATGCACGTTAACTATGTCAAGGCTCAAACGCCCTCCTGTTCGTGTGGTGTGGAAGTTAGGAGAGGGAGGTGCCAGCTCACAGGTATCACATCCTCGTCATTTAACCATTGTTCAAAATTACGAGGTCCATCGTCAATAGCCCTCGTGCAGCTTTGTAATGCGACGTTAATATCACACTCACTGACTGAACATATGTATCTGTTGCGAGAAATTTGTAATAATGACCATTTTCCAAAACCGGATCGTTGCACAGACAAATGAGACACATCTCTAAGCTCCACTTTTTTAAGAGCCCGGTTAAACTGCTATTTTGAAAATATTTGTAAGTACAGTAGAACGTCGTTTATCCGAACCAATTGGGACCGGACACCGTTCGGATATGCGATTGTTCGCATAACCGAATGCGATCCATGCAGTATATGGAACTGGACACTATACGAATATTGAAAATCATCACATGCGGGAAACGGGATTGAATAAAAAGCAAAATGTCACAATTTTACCTTTATTGTGGAAAACAATCACTTATTTTTCGCTATACCATTGTACACCTTCGTTTTTTCGCTGCAAGGTCTCTAATTCTCTTGAGCAGCAGTAATTGAGTAGGACAGCACTCTGATTGTTGTTCGTACAACTCTACAGCTGTCTCTAACACAGAAAACGCGACAGAATTGGATGAACCCTTGCTACTTTCGTTGTTGTTGTCCTCGTTTTCATCCTTTTCATCATCGATAGGGTCGGATTCTTTTTGTATGAAGTCACAATCTTGTCATCATTTAGCATTTGAAATCCAGTCTTCTTCAACGCATGCCATCCAGGTTTCTACATCTTCATCGCATTCTTGAAATCTTCAGATCGATTGGACAAAGTCGGTAATCTCCTCCCTGTGGTCGTCATTGAAGTCTTTTTCGCCTTCTAAATTAAGACACAGCTTATTCCATGCATTTTTCAGGCTGTGTCTTTCGAGCGAGTCATACGCTTCGACTAACATGTAGCAGGCGTCCTTCATACGCGAAACAACTGTTGAGCATTGCACTGTTCGAAAACATATTCAGTACATGTAGTTGACAAAAAAAAAAAAAAAAAAACTGGTTCGGATATTAGACACACTGGATAATTAACGTTCGGATACACGACGTTCTACTGTAAGACAATTTACTTTTCTCTGTTGGAAAAAACTGTTCATACTAAACAAACCAATAAAAAGTATCGTAAAATCTCTGGCATATAACGCTCACCTATACTTTCAAGCTGCATTTTTTAATATTTAGGTGTATTCGCCGTAAAACGCACCCCCCCCCCCTTTTTTTTTTTTTTGCGAAGAAACCTTAAATTTGCGTGTTTTCTTACTCTTATATTTTGAAGTCATTTATTCGAAGTATTATTCCAAGCTTTAGAAAAATAGTATCTTTCTAGACTTACAACCCTTTAAAAGTTCATGTATAAAGAATACCAATTCTTTCAAATAAATAGTATTTCCGTATATGTAAAAGTCTAATTTTTTTCTATGTTCACTTCATTTTTCACATTTTTAAAGTTCTCATGTTTATACCAGGCATGTGACGCACACCTGTTAATTTCCATCTTAAGGTATCCTACTACGTTCGGAACCATGATTTTAAAAAAGTGCATAAATGTATAATTTTCATGATATTTAGTGTCACTTAGATTAGAATACATGTATAAAATTGTTTTAAGGACATTATGACAAAAAAAATTATTTAAACACTATATTTTGGCAAAAAACTAACTTAGAATAACCTTTTTTCCAAATGTTCTTCTTTTGTAAGAAATGCATCTATTGTATTAATATTTTGCCTGTATATAGCTTATACCACTGTACAGAGGCTCAATTATGATTTTTGAAAAATTCACATTTTCAGAGTTACAACCATTTGAAATATATAATTATCGGCGTATTTTCTTAAAATTTCTCCCCTCTGTTTTCGTAAAACATGGATAAACCGATTTCCGAGTTATGCGTTTCAAAAATTCTAGTTGAGCCTTTGTACAGAAGTCTGAGCTGAATACAGGCAAAATATTAATACAATAGAAGCATTTTTTTCAAAATGAGAATATTTGGAAATAAGTTATTCTAAGTTAATTTCTTGCCAAAATATTGTATTTAAACAATTTTTTTATGTCATAATGTCCTTAAAACAATTTTATACATGTATTCTAATCTAAGTGACACTAAATATCATAAATATTATCCATTTTAATGCGTGGACGCGGTAGCCGAGTGGTATAGGTATCGGATCGTGGCATACCTTGTCACGAGTTCGAGCCCAGTACCACTAAAGACCCGCCGTGTAGGGCAGCGATGCATGTTAAATCTGTCGAGAGCTGAAACGTCCTCCCGTTGGTGTGGTGTGGTAGTTAGGAGAGGGGTGCCAGCTCAGGTGTCGTCCACGTCACTTGACCATGGTTCAAAATTACGTAGTCCGTTGCCAAAAGCCCTCGTTTAGCTGAACAGTAAGACGTTAATATTCAATCAATCCATTTTAATGCTTTTGCATTAACGAACGTAGTTGGATACCTTAAAAGTGCGGGTTGTACACCGGACATTACGGTGTATTGCTCTTTGTATAGATATAAGATTTACAAGATTAGAGTATGGTTAGAAGCAGTGGTGCATACACAAGGGATGGTGTCCTAGGGGTCCGGACACACCCCAAATAGCCCTTGATTTTTTTTCTTCCATTGGTTATGATTCTATGTATATATTACGTAAAATTTAATTATGTATTTGTTATTAATAATTAATTTTATTAATTAATGCCAATAGTTTATTCAATAATTAGTTTTGTATTGTTTTTGTTCCCGAAAATCGACAAAATCAAAAGAATATGTTGGGCGGCGTATTGGAGCATGGTACCAAAATGGTGG